GGAAAAGAAAGGAAAAAAGAATTATTTTTTTTGGGAATTTTAAAAAAATTTTCAACTGACAACATTTTAATGTCTGTTTATACATATATAAATGTTCTTTTCTTTTTCGTTTGATAGTTTCAATCAATTAATCAACTGGCTAACTGTATGACCAATTGATTAACTGACCAAACTAATCAAACGAACAAAATTAATTGTCCAACTAACTGACAAATCGGAAACCATAAAAATTGTTCGTCTGTTTTTAGGTGTATTTGAACATATTTATTTTCATTTCTCTATTATATGTTATGTTGTTAATTGGTTGCCGTTGTCAGCTCTGTGATAACTGCAGCTGCTGTTGCCGGGATTGCTGTTGCAGCTGCTACATTTCTGCCACCTACCGCAACAGCGGACAACAGATTACAGATTACAGACATTACAGATTACAGACACAGAATACACATCGAGCACATATCAGTATCAGTATTCTCGTTCATCACCATTCCTGTTCCTTTCCAAAAATTCAACAAAAAAAAAAAAACGTTTTTTTCCCCTTATTTTATCCAAATATTATTCGCTAAAGATACAGCAATTTTAGAGCATCTTTTAAATCTGTTATCTTTTGCCCCTCTAAAATTAGTGATAGTAAAAAACAACAATAACTATAATTGACGGACAATTTTTTTTGATGATAATCAATCTTATAATTTATGATCCAAATTTTAACAAACAGTTAGCACTGTTACGTTTATAAAACTTTTTAAGCTTAAAGCAAATTAAAAAAAAAGACAGTTTAACAGTAATGCTCAATTTTTTTTTTTTTTTTTGGATAATCTCAAACTGTAATTTATCAATGGTTTAGCGGTATGAAAACAGTTTTATTTTGCAGAATAAAATCGAGTAAATATAAGCTGTTTAGAACAAAATTGAAAAAAAAAAAAAGAGAGAAAAAAGAATAAATAAACAAATCACACATACAAATTCTCTTTTTTTTTTTCGCTCTTCTTACACATCTTTTTTTTACTGGAATGTCCGCTAAATAATCTGTTTAACGTATATAATGAAACCATTTAATGGTATACTGTTTGTCAGTTATTTATCTGTGTATTTATACAAAACTGTTTTTTTTTTTTTTTTTTTTTTTTTTTTTTTTT